CTAAAATTCAGGAGAAGTGTATTGTGATAAAGACCAAGGCAAGGTACTGAATAGCTACGGGACAAGCACTATGACCCAAGGTAGACTTTTAGGGGTGAGGTAAGGACAGTATCTATGAATAACAATTCAATGTTAAGTGTCTTAAAAATAAAACAGCAAAAATTCAAGACAGATACCTCAAGTAATTTCAATTTAATAAAATACTTCCACCCCACCCACACCATCATCACATGTCCCTCATTCCTTAAGCATTTGAAAACTCCTCTGCGTTTCAGGGAGTGAAGCTGATTTTTTACAGTAAGTGGGTCAACAAAAATGAAGTCTCATGCCTTGCACTGGACCATAGAAACCTCAAGACTAAAAGAAAAGGCCAAGTAATACAATCTGGTTTTCACCATTCTGTCACAACCATACGGATTTCTTAACATTTGATCTTGTTTTCTCTGTTAAAGCATTTTATGACAGAACAAGGAAATTGGTTTTACATTTTTCTGGGGGCAGAACTGCTGCATGAAGGGAGCAAACAATTGCAGCTTTCAAGAGAGATGCTAATTGTACCTTTTAAAATATTAAGACACCCTCTAAACACCCTCCACCCCTACCCCTTAAAAGTTTCTGCATCTTTCTTAAAGGTGCCGAGAAAATATTGTTTGCAGACTGACATATCCTAAGTATGGATTTAAACACATTTCTGCCCAGTGATTTAGTTCTTCAAGGGTTGTATGTCTCATATTTTCAGAAGCAATCTAAAAGAACTGGACCATCTTATCTACACAATAAGCCACAACAATCAGAAGAGCTGCATGTGACTAATAAATTCTCATAAAATGAGAATTTCCATCTTCATTTAGACTTTCTGCCAACAAGTCAGCAGGGTTAGGACTTGGAGCCTTCCCATCACAGGGAGTTTTCTCAGAAAAGATAAAGAAGGGAAGGTCTGCTCCAAGAGACCTGCTAATCTGCCTCCCTGGGAGGGTGAAAGGGAGGCGAACGTTGTCATGCTGGCAATTCTACTTATAAATGCTTTCCTTTACAATAAGATGACAGATTTAGGAGGGAGGAGATATGAGTAGCAGCAGCTGCCCACACAGATGATTACTGTAAATTCAATTATTGGAAAATTACTCTATTCCAGCCAGAGAAGGGATGAGAAGGAGAAGAAGAGGTGAAAAGACTGAACAAAATATGAAGTGAGACTAAAATTAAGTTGTATAAAAGCCACCAGGGGGAAATCAACAATCATCTAAAGAACGCTCCTATGCTTCCACAACAAAGAAGGAAATGAAGACCAAGAAAAAGTCAAACAATGTGTTTGTCAACTACCAATCCTTCTGGTACTCAGTTATAAATATGGATCATGCAAAATCATTAGCCCTGAAATACTCAAGTTATTTATATATTTATCTGTATATTTATACGTATGACACTTCTTTCTGAAAACAGAAAGCTCTGAATTTTTATCTAAAAACGGCTGATCCACAAGACACTGGGTTCATGACAATCAGTGTGTGAAAGGAAGTGCCGACTGAATCAATTCCTGCCATGAAGGACTTGCAAACATATATAAAAGAATTTAAGAATATTATGTTTTTCAAGTAACCTTACATCAGAATTGTGTTTTAAGAAATACATTTGCCCAACTAACATAGTGGCTTTAGAGTCGGATTAAAGGGTAGGATGGACTGACAGTTTCCTGAGGCTTTAATTTATAAAAGAATCTAAAATTGTGCTGAAAACATCACTGATGTTAGTAAAGATGGAAAAACTTTAGAAATAGATAGTGGTGATGGTGGTGCAATATAATGAACGTAATCAATCTCACTGAATCGTATATGTTAAAAATGCTGAAAGCGCAAAGCTTTGATACATATATTTTACCACAATTTTTAAAAAATCATTGGGATAAATTCAGGTGAAGTAAATTCTGTGTACCAGAACACCTCTTAAGGAAAGGACTGTGTGTGGACAAAGGAAAACAACAAAAGACAAGACTCTGAAAAGAAGTCTGAGGTAGAGACAGGACTAGCAATGAATCCAATGCACATATACATACCTTATATTCATTCTCACACCAGAAAAGTAGCTTCTAAACTGCCATCTAAGATAACTGGGTGTGTTACTCAAGGCAGTGCAAACTATTTCCACTCATCCATGAATCTACCTGTTGGCCATTCAAACCCACCCAGTGGTGCCCTGAAAGAAAGACCTGGCAATCTACTTCCATAAAGATTACAGTCAAGAAAACCCTTTGAACCATGTCTTCACTAGCATGAGTCCAGAACTACATGGTAACTACATGTTAGCTGCCACTAACAGCTGATTGGGATCACAGTACAAGATCCTAGACAGAATGGGAAAAAAATGTAAAACAAAATTAAAAATTATAAAAAATATGAAATTTATTGGTCTAATAGAGACTGGTAGACTCCCCGAATATAGCCCTACACACCTTTCAAACCTAGAATTGCACTCACTCCTGAAGATCACCTTTAAGCTAAACATTGTTTTTTTGTTGTTATGTGCCACCGAGTCATTTCCAACTCAGAGGTACCTTGTATAGGGTTTCCAAGGAGCGGCTGGTGAGTTTGAAATGCCAACTTCAGGTTCAAACTGACCTTACGGTCCAGTGCTTTATCCCACGGCACTACACCAGGACTCCACCCACACACTGTTGTTGTTGTTATGTGCCATTGAGTTGGTTCTGACTCATAGCGACCCTGTACAAGGTTTCCAAGGCTGTAAATATTTATGGGAGCAGAAAGCCTCATCTTTCTCCCGCGGTGCAGCTGACAGTTTTGAACTGCTGACCTTGCAGTTTACAACCCGACTCGTAACCACTACGCTACCAGAGCTCCTTACCCACACATTGTTGTTGTTGTTAAGTGCCGTCGAGTCGGTTCCGACCCATAGCGACCCTGTACAGGGTTTCCGAGGGTGTAAATCTTTACGGGAGTAGAAAGCCTCATCTTTCTCCCGCGGCACGGCTGGTAGTTTCGAACCGCTGACCTTAAGGTTCGCAGCCCGATTCGTAACCACTACGCTACCAGAGCTTAGAAAGGCCTATAAAGTGAACACTAACACTCACAAAGAGTGTACTCCCTAGGAGAATCAACAGTATGAGAAAAAAGGGCAACATGTGCCTAAAAACAAAGCTTGGAAAGTAGAAAAAATCAGGAAAGATGGAAGAACGGAAACAGGGAAGCCAAGGAAGAAGTGGGAAGAGTGTATTGCAACCAATGTCAAGAGACAAAAGCTGTGTAAATGTTGAATGGAAACTAATTTGCCTTGCAAACTTTCATTCAAATCACAACCAAATGCTTAAGAAAAAAAAAAGCTAAAATGGCAAGTTTTATGTTATATATATTTTACCACCATAAAATAATAATAATAAGCCTATGGAGCTCAGTTCTACTCTGTAGCCGATGATGTTGACTTGAGTTGCAATTGACGCAACGGCAATAAAGCATTGGGTTTTTGTTTACTGTTCTGCTGAGTAAGCCATGAGCGAAGCAGCACACTGTGTACCACCAACAAGAGTACTTTCCCTTATCCCTCTTCTCTCAGCTGTAGATAATCCCCCAGCCCCAACCCCACCCCACACACAGACTGTGGATCATAGCGGAACAAATGCTTAAAGCACAGTGGATGGGAATGGCTATCAGAACACAGCCTTCTCAAGACACTCCCAGGGAACCATGAGTGCTATCAGTGCGTCCACCACATTACCTGATATGTGGGCTCTCTATTTCTCCTTCCCATTTCATCCTTTTCCTTCCCAAATCAAAGCTCATCTTCTAACAGATCCCAATTGTCTTTAAGGCAACTAAAATATGTGATTAAAGTGATTCACGGTAGAGGATGAACCAACAGATTTTACTCTATTCTTAAGTGCCATCAAGATGGTCCCAAATCATAGCAGTGCTGTATAGGGTTTCTGAGGAGTGGCTGGTGGGTTTAAACCCTACCAACCTTGCTGTTAGTAGTCCAGCACTTATCTTCCAATTTTAGGACTTCCACACTAGGACTTCCAATTTTACTCTAACAGAGATTATTAGTAATTAAAAAGAGACATTGGTAACTTCTAAAAAAAGCCCTCAGTAAAATGCATTTGAAGATCTTCCTGTCATTTTCTAGAAGACTGATAACCCATTGCTGTCAAATCAATTCCTATTCATACAGACACTATAAGACAGAGCAGAACTGCCCAGGCAGGGCTCCAAGGTGGTAAATCTTTATAGACGTAAACTGCTACACCTTTCTCCTATAGGGCAGCTAGTGATTGAAACTGCTACATTTTCAGTTAGCAGCTAAGCACGTAACCACAGTGCCACAGAAGGGCTCCTCAGAAGGGTGATAGCTCATTCTAAACATCTTCCTGATATTGTAACTTCCCCACCCTCTATGTCATATGTCCCTGCCTATAAGCCTTCCTTATAAATACATTCAATTTGCTACTTGATTCTCGGTCAGTTTCTTACAGGAAGTGGAATATTCAGAGCATGGTTCTAGTAATATACTGTACATTTACTATATTCTACAATTAAACACTCAAAACATTCATTAATATCTGAGGTGGAAAACAGCCATACATTAATGCCACAACCAAACCAAATGCTGTATAGCACATGAGTCATCTGCTGGCTTTGTGCCAGATACTCAGAGTGGATTGAAAACTTAACTGAAAAGGAACACAAGTCAGCAGTGCCTATGATGAAGAGACCAGACTCTGTTTTCATTATAAGGGAAACCACTTAAAGAAGGAGGGAGGAAGAAAGAAAAACAAAAGAGGGAAAGAAACCAGTTGAAACTGGGCATTTACTTGAAGAGGAGCCAGCAGAATGTACATGCTAAGACACGTTCACAACACAGAGGGAAGGCATTGATCAGAAGGCTTCCTTGGCGCTATTAAATTTCTTTGGTGGCAGCCTTGGCTGGGAAGGCAAGGCACAGAAGTTGCGTTCAGGGTTCTGAGGACCAAGAAGTGGTGTCTGTGAACTTACGGGGATTGAACGGCTCAGGAATCTCGCTGAAGAAGAAGAAAGCCCGGTGTATGAGGGTCGGGGGGTGGTGCCATGTTCCTCTGTCTTGGCGCTGTGGGGACTGGGATGGTTGTTCAGGTTGCTCCCACTGCTGCTGCTTCTGTTGTATTGGTTGTTGTTGAGTTCAGGGTAATTTCTGGCAGTCGGCTGGAGGCTGCCATTCAAGAGGTTGGTGAACGGGTTGGCTATGAAACCTGGCTTAGAGGATGGTGAGGTCTTTTTGTTCTCTGGATCATCTGTTGCAGCATTCAAGTTCCCTAGAGAACTGGCTAGCCGTGAGTTTATGGAAAAGCTGAATGGGAAACACAGATGAAGATGGGGGAGAAAAACCACAAAGACAACAATGTATACTCATGCCAAAAAGCCATGTTCCCAAAGCACACATTTACAACATTAGGGCAATGTGATGAAGACAATTCTGACCAGTGTAAATGGCTTATCATTCTTGATGATATTTTAGTATGTGGTACATTGAGTTATACACATCAACTTTCTCTGTCAAAGCAGTTAATTAAGACCTAAATTAAAACACTGTGTCTGGGGATCAGTCTTAAAATGGAGTTATCTGGGAGTTCTATTTGTCCTGAGGTAGGAAGTAAATGAAAAGGGTTTTACAAGGAGAGAATAAAGAAGCAGACTTAACTACGAGATTTAACTTGTACATATTCAATCGTACAACTACACCAAATGTCCCCATCCATTTTAGTTCTGACTACATATATGAGGTGAGAAGTAACAACACTATTTATCATTTGCATGCGTAACTGAACTCCATTTTGAGAATTATGTTGGGAAACCTGGAGATTCACTAGAAAAAAGGATGCATGCAACACTTCCACCATCCTTGTCCCCAGCAATGTTAACACTGGAGTAGAGATTCCAGTTGAATCACAGCACCTTTTATGCTTTCTCTCCTTTTCCCTGGTTCCCTCCTCTGACATCACCACAACCAAATTCATTGCCTATTGCAGATTTTCTTTACCTCCTGCCAAGAAGGAAGAAGGTAGTAAAAAAGAAAAATTACCTCCTTACACTGGCTCCTGAGGACAAAGAACCTCTGTTTATCCTCTTGGCAGTTGCTGAAGGGGACAAAGACCCTTTCGAGATCTTCAGAGAAGCTGCAGATACTTGTGAAGAATTCAATCTTTGGGGAGAAAGTGGGCAAAATGTCACAAAAAGTACTATTAGTGTATTATCTTAACCACCAGCTCTGACAAGACAAGAAACATTAAAAACACCATGACAGGTCTTACTAATGGTGACAGCAGCAGTATCCATCACACAGCACAGACTCTGTGCCCTGAGCTTTCCTAAGAATCTTCTCGCCATTCACTCCGTTCATCATCACAACAGCCCTGTGAAGGAGCTAGAACTTCTGTTCCCACTATACAGCTAAGTCACTCCAAAGTCAGACCATTAGCAAGTAGCACAATGAAGACTCAATTCCAGGATTCAAATTCCTGCTCTTAACCACAACCCCATCACCCTTGGTTCCTACTCTTTCACTGTCATTCATTCCTTGGCAGATACTTGGGTTCCACTCCTTTATATTTCAAGTGTAAGCTCTCATTTCCACCCTGAACTGTCCTAGGTAAAGCCTTTGTTATTCCTTATCCCTGACTCCTCATTCACTCTCACTCACTGCCATCAAATTGGTCAGGACGCATGATGGTGGGGGTGGTGGTGTTTATGTGCCATGGAGTTGGTTGCAACACATAGCGACCCTGCACAGGATTTCTGAGGCTGTAAACCCGTATGGGAGCAGAAAGCCTCTGCTTTCACCCATGGAATAGCTGGTAGTTTCAAACTGCTGACCTTGAAGTTAGTAACCTGACTCATAACCACTACTCTACCAGAGCTCTGACTCATAGTGACCCTGCATAGAGTTTCCAAGGCTGTAAATCTTTATGGGAGCAGAAAGCCTCTTCTTTCAACCCATGGAGCAGCTGGTGGGTTTGAATTGTCAACCTCGTGGTTAGAAATCTAGCACTCATCCTATGTTGTTGTTGTTGTTAAGTGCCGTCAAGTCGGTTCCGACCCATAGTGACCCTGAACAGGGTTTCCAAGGCTATAAATCTTTACGGGAACAGAAAGCCTCATCTTTCTCCCGCGTAACAGCTGGTAGCTTCAAACTGCTGACCTTGCGGTTCGCAGCCCAATTCGTAACCACTACGCTACCAGAGCTCCTTAGCACTCATCCCATAGTACCTACTAATAACTACTATTCTTCTTTCTTAATAACAAATTCTGACTGGTCTCTAGCAAAATCTAAAATGTCTATTACCCTCACTTGGTATAAACTCCTTGTGAGCAAAGAAGCATCTCTCATTTCAATTCCCAGTGAGTAGCATGAAGAATATTAAATATACTGTGGACTACCAGAAGAAGGAACAAATCTGTATTGGAAGAAGTATACTCAGAATGTTCCTTAAAGGCAAGGATAGCAAAATTTTTCCCATGTATTTTGAACATGTTATCAGGAGGGACCAGTTACTAGAGAAAGACCTCAGCTTGGAAAAGCAGAGGGTCAACCAAAGGACCTCAATGAGAGGGACTGACATAGTGGCTGCAAACAATGGGCTCAAACATAAGAACAATTGTGAGGAATGATGGCACAGGACTGGGTAGTGTTTTGTTATGTTGGACACAGGGTCACTATGAGTTGGAACCAATAGCAGCATAGTGTCTTTATTATCACCTCTTTAAATGTAGAATAGAGAAGAGAAGAAAAATGAAGAAGGCGGGGGACAAACATGCAAAAATAGGTGGAAATAGGACTAACAAAAACAGAGGGGGGGAATTAAAGTAAGATCAATCAGTAGAGAGAAAAATGTTGTAAAGCAACTATTGCTTACTAAGGTCCCAAAATGTGCCCAGAATACAGAGCACACTGAGATTCCTGAGCCGGAACCACACAGTCCTGTGGGGGCTTCAGGAAAACACAGAATCTTGGTCATGGTAAATGTTCAAAGTACATTTTAAGAAGAAGTTATTTTAAAAGTGAAAAGACTAATATTAGTCTATTATCTTAACCACCATAAAATAGTGCATTTTCATCAGCTTAAGGGTTATGTACCTAAACAGCAGCATTTATTTTTAAGCTACTAGAAATTGGACCTTGTTAACAGTACCTGAACGGCTGCGATGCTGATCTTGGCTGCCCTTTTGTATCATCCAACCTAAGGAATAAAAACAAGAGTTCACATATCACCAGGTTCATACACTTAAAGACCAAAAGGCACATCAAATCAGACCTGTGAAAATATTAAGATTGGTGAAAGGGGAGAGATTTTACATAGGGATAAATGAAGGGGGTTCTAAAAGTTTATGGAAAAATTCCATTATATTTTAATTCTATTTTTCCACAAACTTTTTGAAGCCCTTCATACATATATTTATCCCCTTTAAAAATAAATGCTAGAAGCAGCAAGGAATTCATTTTACTCATTACTCATTTTATTTCATCTTGAATTTTATTTATAACATGTAATAAACTAATCAGAGGGATGACGTTATATATCCACTCAGGGTTAAAAATGCTTAACGATGCTATTAAGAAAGTGAAATTCTAAAAACTGAGAAAATTTCTAAGAATTAAAAAAATAAAAGTCAATGAAGGCAATTGAAAATTTCTATTGGATCAAGTCTTTTCTCTGGCTTTTTTTGCCTATTTGGAAAGTTACATACTTGTGTAATTTATCCCTTGATCCGCCTTATTTCTTTGTTTATGTATAACTTTTTATTGTGAACTGAGTGATTATAGAGTTGATTTTACATTCGACAAATAGTACACTTCATTTCCATGATTGCAATCCCCTCCATGCAATAACACTTACCCACTTCCTCTCTGTGACTCTTGTTTCCAATCCACCTTCTTTCCTGACTTTCTCAATTGCATCCTTAGGTAAGTGCTCTCCTCTCAATCTTGAATGGTTGACCATTCCACAGTGTGCATACCTCACTAGTGCTGCTGTCCCCCTTCTATACACATCTACGATTTGGTTGGAAACTGACCCATAGGGTGAGTTCATTCCAGACCTGAAGGGTTTCTTTCTGACCAGTAAGCCTGGTCTTCTTTCATATTTTTGAGTTTTGTTCCACATTTTCTCCCACTCTGTCTAGGATGTTTTAATGTGATCCCTTTCAGAGCAGTTGGTAGGTAGTGGGAGCCAGGCACCATCTAGTCCTTCTGGCCTCAAGGTCATGGTGATTGATATTCACGTGCTCTATCAATCCATTGGACTAAGTGATTCCAAGCACCTTCAGTTTGTATCACTTATCTTTTGTCCATATAGGTAAAGACCATTGTTGCACCTAAGATGGTCACTCATGAGCTTTTAAGATTCCAGCTGCAACTCATAAAAACAGGATGTAGAACAAGCATTGTGTTTGTGGGCTATGTTGTTCCAAATGACCATTATCCCCTGAAACTATGTTCTTGAGCCCACAGGCCCAGCAACTCCTTCAAGGTGTTTGACAATATTTAAAAAGTATTTATAATTTTGTTCCCTGTATGTACCAACACCAGAAAGAGCTCTGGTAGCACAGTGGTTATGAGTTGGGCTATTAACCACAAGGTCAGCACTTCAAAATTGCCAGTTGTTTCACAGGAAAAAGATGAGACTTGCTGTTCCCATAAAGATTTACAGCCTCAGAAACCCTATGCAGGGTTGCTATGAGTCAGAACTGACTCCACAGCACACAACCATCACCAACCACGCTCCAACACATTCTTACATATGTTTGTATAAACATATCCATGTACAAGAAACCTCTGTCCAACCTATATATATTTGTGGGTGTACACCTACTCTCTCTCCCACACCTGCATGCCTATTCATAGATTGTCATCACTGCAGAATTGTGTATATAACATTATTTATATTCCCTTTTTTTTTAAGTTTTTATTGTGAATTGAGTGATAGTTTACATGAGAGGATATTGGTTTTACACCATCGTTTCATTGCAATGATTATAATCTCCTCCACGCATCATCATTAAACAGTATTTGCTTCTATTTCCTCTGTGTTTTATTTGTTTTTTGGGGTTTTGTTTTGTTTGGGGGGGTTGTATACAAAAACACACAAGAATATATAATCATTTAACAACCAAAATGGCACAATTTGCAAGGCTGCCTCCTGGCCACTAGCATAGTCTTTCTCTTTCTATGAGTCTAGAGTCCTCAGCTGCTCTATCTCTCCATGTCCTCATCTCTGCCTCCATCTCTGGTGTCACTGCTTCTCTGGATAGGGTCCCACATTCCACTCATGCTCTTCTCCTTTGATGGTCCTAAAGTCCTCAGTGCCTGGACTGTAAGATTAACTACTCCCCCCTTTTTGTTACAAAACTTCTACCTTTACAATTACTCACTATTGAATCATAAGAATCTTATCCCCATCTCCTTTCAGACAAGATGAAAATTATTCAGTGGGGATTCTACCTTCCCTCGCATACTCTGAAACTAAACTCTCTTGAAACTTGTAAGCCAGTTGCTTTATGCCTTTATGGCACCCCAAAATCAGGTAGCCAATGTCTAAGTTGCCTGTCCCTATCTACCCTATGTACAGAGGGAATAGCATTGATACTTGATGTAAAGACTCCTTCCCTCTCAGTTGGTATTTTGAGCTACTACATCCATAAGTATAGGTCAAGTTCATCAAATTGTAGCATTTTACACTGTTTCCTTTATCAAAAACAAAATTATTTTTTTTTATCTTCCTCTAGTTGAGTTCTGATCATCAAGGCATCAAAGCTAGGTCAAATGGGTACTATCTACACGTCTGGGTGTTCTTATGCATCTCCCATCACTTCATATCAGCTGCTTTCAGCTCTAGCCCTCCATGGCTATGTCCTTGTCCATGGGCTCAAGACACTTCCGACCAACCAGTCCCTCCTCTTATCACTCTCATCTTCAAGTCAATGGGAGTCTATGGAATGTGGTTGAACTCAGCCAGTATCTTCATTGTTGCTTTTCTCCCTTTTCCACTCACCAGTAAACCAATGTGGTCACCAGAAAGCTTACATGCCTGCTCATGTGTTCCCTTTGAGTTTCAGTCTTGGAGGGGCATTTGTCCTGAAGGGACTTGATTGCTTGCCTTGATGGGTCCCCAGTGAACAGCTTGCTTGTTCTTGTAATAGCCAATCAGACTGCCATTTTTGTTTTGGGTTTTTCCTGCTGGGCTTTCTTTCAAGAAATATCTTCTGTTCATCTAGTTGTTCAAGGATGGCTGCTTGTCCATTCAAGTAGGAATGTTCCACCTCAGAAAGTTCTGGATGGGGCTCAGGATTCCACCCAAGTCCTATACATTAAAAAGGCTCCACAAGAAGCCTATTTCACTAGGCAAGTTCTAGAATCCCTTTTAGGTATTCCAATCAGTTATAGGCTGAAGAGGGGCTAACAAGCTTTCTGTAATCACATTTCCCAATATTCCTTTCTATCCCACTCAAGGGTCTATTTTACAATAGTGGGCAAAGTAAACCAATATTTATAAGACAGTCAAGCATCTTAACATTATTTTCCCTCTTTTATCCATTCAGACTATGCCTCGATCCCTGTATCACAGAGCCCTGTTGTTCCAAGGTTGAGCATACATCACTATTTACCTCTGTTTCATTTAGCTCATGCAAACCTGCCTCAGTGTTCCCTAATCTTGTTCTTCTATTCCCCTCCCCTCTTTTGTGTATTGCCCTCCCCAACACCCGAACTATAATGTGTCTATCCCCTACCATGTACTCTACCATCCCCTCCCACCCCCCAACCAACAAAGAATTTTTGTTGTTGTTGTTGTTCCTTTTACGGTATCTTTTCTTAAGCTTTTACAATAATGATCTTATACAATATTTGTCTTTTTATGACTGATTAATTTCACTCAGCATGTCTTCAAAGTTCATCCATATTATGTGGTGGCTTCCTTGTTGTTCTTCAAGGTAGCATAGTATTCCATTGTGTGTATGTACCGCAGTTTGTTTATCCATTCGTCCATTGATGGGCACTTAGGCTGTCTCCATCTTTTTGCTATTGTGAATAGTGCTGCTATGAACACTGGTGTGCATATATCTACTGGTGTTCTGGCTCATATTTCTTGTGGATTCCAAGTAGAAGAATTGCTGGATCATAAGGTATTTCTATTTCCAACTTTCTGAGGAAACACCATATTGTTTTCCAGTGGTTGGACCATTTTACATTCCCACCAGCAATGTAGGAGGGTCCCAGTATCTCCATATACTCACCAGCATTTATTGTAGTCTGCTTTTTAGAACTTTGCTGTTATTGCTGGTGTGAGGTATCTCATTTTTGTTTTGATTTGCATCTCTCTAATGGCTAATGGGAGTCCTGGTATGGCACTGTGAGTTAATGTGTCAGACTGCAAAGCCGTTTGAAGTGCAAGGTCAGCAGTTCAAGATCACCAGCTGCTCCTTGGAAACTCTATACAGGGTTGCTATGGGTTGGAACTGACTCGACAATACTTAACAACAACACCAGTGGCTAATGATCATGAGTATTTCTTAATATGTTTGTTGGCTGCCAAATCTCTCCCTTGGTGAAGTGTCTGTTCATGTCCTGTGCTCATTTTTTAATTAGGTTTTTTGTCTTTTTCTTGTAGAGGTGTTGTAGTTTCCTATAGATTCTAGATATTAGTCCTTTGTCTCGTATGTCATTGCAAAAGATATTTTCCCATTCTTTGGGCTACCCTTTTACTCTTTTGGTGTAATATTTTGATGCACATAAGTTTCTAATTTTCAGTTTGTACCAATCATCTATTTTGGTCTTCTGTTTGTGCAATTTTTGCAATGTTTGGTAGTCTGTGTGTGGCCTGTAATAAACCACTTAAATTTGTCCCTATTTTTTCATTGATGACCTTTATAATTCTGTATTCCCTTTAATTCCTATACTGCTCCTTGTATCTTCCCCAGTCTTCATCATTCTGTCAGGCTCCCTCTTCTTGTATATTACCTTCCCCATCACTCCAGTTAACACATGTCTTCACTCTAACCAGAAAATTACTTTCCCTTCCCTCCTACCCCTGGTAACCATCAAAAAATATTTCTTTTAATGTAAAAATCTTTTCTTGACTTTTTAACAATAGTGGTTTCATACAGTATTTGTCCTTTTGTGATTGACTATTTTCACTCAGCATAATGTCCTCCGGTTTCATCTATGTTGTGAGGTGAGTCACAGATTCATCACTATTCTTCAACATTGCATGGTATTCCATTGTGTGTATATACCAAAGTTTATTTATCCATTCTTCCAGCAGTAGGTCTTTAGGCTGTTTCCAACTTTTTGCTCTTGCAAATAGTGCTTCAGTGAGCCTGGGAATGCATATTCATGTCATAGCTCTTCTTTCTTGACAATGTTTACCAAACAGAAGGACTGCTGGGTCATATGCTATTTCTATTTCCAAATTTTTTGAGGAAGCACCAAACTGTTTTACCACAGTGGTTGCAAAATTTTACAGTTCCACAAGGTCCCAGTCTCACTGGCATTGCTGTTTTCTGGTTTTTTGAACTTTGCTATTAATGCTGGGCTTGTGATTTCTTAATAATGAAACATAAATCCATTTTTAATTAATTTTAACCACCTAAAGCAATTTATTGGCATTTCAAAGGAAAGACATTGTAAGCAAAAAAATTTTTTAACAGATTGATAATGTACACTGATCATGATGAACCTTCTACTGAACACAGACTAGACAGAACTGGGTTTGAACCTAGGTCCCATTTCTAATTTCATTCCATTAAGAAAGTATTTCACCTCTGTAACCTCAAGAAAGCAATTCACATGTGGATAATGACACATACTTTCTATGTTAACTCGCTAATCCTTATATCCAAACTACAAGGCTCTTGACCCATAGAAAGCACTCAGGAAACTTTTTTCTAAACTTTCTAGTGGGAATTGATGGTTATTACTAATCACCAGGTTTCCTATCCCATTTTTTCCATCTTACTGTAGAAAACAATTACCTCAACTTTGAGCTATAGCAATCCAGTACTCAAAGCATAGGTAAGAGACCATATCCAATCTGACTTAAGTGTTATAATGCTCCCAGATTAAACCATGGTGACAAAAAATAAATAAGTAAACAGTGTAAAACAGGAAAATAGTGGTAAACCAAAAATCAAAAGGCATAATGATATTAAAAAAAAAAGCATCAAATGTTTTTAACCATGAAGTGAAGCACATTATAAACTTAAGTTTAAAACGGCTCTACCTACCTAAATGCACAGGATGGTGAGGAGCGTGGCTGTCTCTGACTTTTTAAGGCACGTAGTTTGTCTCCCTGGGTTATACCATTCTTCATTTCCACATCTTCATCCTCTTCTAAATTATTCTGGGAAGGGGAAAAAAGCATGTTCCATAGAAAGGTCATTCCTAGTTATTTTGCTTTATATCATCTCGTTGTTAAGAGCCACTGAGTCCGTTCTGACTAATTTTGTTTTATATCTTGTTGCTAAGTGCCATTGAGTCGGTTCCAACTCACAGCGACCCTTTTAAAGGTTTGCAAGGAGCAAATGGTGGGTTTGAACCACTGACCTTGCAGTTCAAACAGCTTTGTAGTCTGGTGCATTTACCCATAGCGCCACACCAGGACTCCTTGTTTTAGATAGATGATCTTTAATTCATTTAAATGTACTATGAATTCAGCATTGCCCACAAGAACACTTAGCTATTTGCCAGCTAGTTTGGTCAAATTCAAATATAAAAGAAGTGTGGGCAAGGCTGTGGTCAAATTTTAAAGGAGTTCTTTGTTACAATGGACCACAAACAAATAATCTCTTCCACAGACACAATCCACAATTGTGCTTTGGATTATTTTATCAGTGGATACACTAAATGGATACATTTTCAGGTACTACCACACTCTTTCAAGGAGCTCTGGTAGTGTAGTGGTTACAAATTGGGCTGCTAACCTCAAGTCAAGCATTCCAAACTACAAGTTGTTCCGCAGGAGAAAGAAGAGGCTTTCTGCTCTAGGAAACCCTGTACAGGGTTTCTATGAGTCAGAAATGACTCCACGGAACATAAACACACTCAAAACCCAACTCTTTCACAGAAAATTACATAACTTGTTTACAAAAATTGCAAGATAAACTAATTGAGGATATCTACATAGTAATGGGACTCCCTGAGTAGTACGAATGGTTAACATGCTTGCCTGCTAACCAACATATTGGAGGTTTGAATCTACCCAGAAACACCTGACCATCTTAATTGTGAAAAATTAGCAACAGAAACCCTCATGGAGCACAGCTGTACTCTGACACACCTGGGGATGCCGTGACTCAGAATCAACTCAAGAGCAACTGGTTCAGCTACATGGTAACTTAGAAACATCATTTCCACTAGTGAAGCACTCAAAATCCTTCCAGAATGAGCTGAAGGACTATGATTAAAAACTGGAAAAGAGTGTTTCCTGGTCTAACAAATCTTACAGCTTAAAAATTATGAAGTGCCATGCTAGCTTGGTCTTTTTGCATGCCGGCTCACACTTAATCCTTACAATCACCTGTGGGAGGGCACTATTCTTAATTTATTGCTTTTTAAAAGGGTGGGGTGTTCATGGAAGTTAAAGATACTGCCCCTAAACTCTTAATAGCAGAGCTATGATTTTAAAATCATATTATTTGTCCTCAGATGAAATACTCTTTCTAAAACCTATGCCATATCAGCAGTAAAGATTGCATTTTGTCTGTTTCCTCTCCTGAAAATAATCAGAAGGCTTAGATTTGCTAAGATCCCTTCAATTCATAATAGCCCTGCCTCTCGTTAAAGCTACCACTTTTATTTTGAATATACTTCCCTCTAGCATATCCTGGAGTGGCACTGTGGGTTACTGTGCCAGACTGCAAAATTGTTTGAACTGCAAGGTCAGCAGTTCAAGCTCACCAGGACTCCTCAGAAACCCTATGCAGGGTCACTATGGGTCAAACCTGACTTGATGACACTTAACAACAATATCATATCCTAGTCATTTCTGATCACCATTCCTGGGTCAAAACACTTCTTCTTCTACCAACTAGTTTAGATTCTATTGGTACATCTGGGACTCAGTGGGCATGTTCTTGGTAAAAAGACGACAGCTCCCTACTATAGCTCTAAGTTTAAAAATATATAGGAGAGTGAAGGCCCTGGTACACTCAGCATGCAATCATGAATTCTCTTATTTACCATTAACTCATTCATTTATTTCAATGAAAATCTACATTCTGCCACAACTACCTACCCTAAGTAAAGAATAGACAAAGATGAAAAAAAATAATCCCTATTTTAGTAGAGATGGCAAACACTTACATGGTGATGGTGGTTATGTGCCGTGGAATCAATTCCAACTCATAGCAACCCTGCATAGCATTTCTGAGGCTGTAAATCTTTACAGCAGCAGAAAACCTCATCTTTCTCCCGTGGAACTACTGGTAGTTACAAACTGCTGACTGTCAGATTAGCAGCCCGATTCATAACCACGATGCTATAGACAATTTAAAACAATGAATTGGTACAGAGTTTTCCGTGACAGAGGCACAAATATTTTGAAAAGTACATGAAGGAAGAATTTAACCCAGCTGGTGGAAAAGGAATGAAGAAACAGAATATAGGGAACAGAAATGAAGTTGAAAGGAAGCAGTCCCTTAAAGAAGGAGTCCAACTGGGTCCAAACCTAGAAGGTCAAGAGACACAGGATCATGGAGCTGTCAAGTCAAAAGGTTCTCTTAGAGCCAAGAGTCCACCCTCTGCAAAGTCTCTGGAAAGTGATCCTTGACCTGTTTCTGTACTATCCCAGTGGGGAAAAAACTCATTAACTTCAAACAAAGTCTGAAAATAGAATTTAGGAAAACCTGAAGGTTAGGTTTGCAAGGGAGATGGTACACCTGACGAGGTGTGCTTTGCTTCACTTAACCTCACTAAGCAGTCAACATGCTGTGCTTTAGGACACAACATGGCTTTTAATTGAAATAAATGAATGAGTTAATAAGTAAGTGAGAGAGTGCATGATTGCAGGCTGATGGAAGAACCATCACACAGTCAGGAGTCTCTAGAAAGTGCAATGAAGTCCTGTATTCATTAAGGGAGCCTATAACATGTCCACCAGTCATCTGTCAGATTGTCACATTGTGGTAGCTGGCCTGTTGCTGTAATGCTGGCAGCTATGCCACCAGTATTTTGAATGCTGACAGGGTCACGATGGTGGACAGGTTTCAGCTGAGCTTCCAGACTAAAACAGATTGGGAGGAAGGAGACATGGACTATATCTGAATATTTAGTAACTGAAAACCTTATGGATAAAAGTGGGAAAATGTCAGATAGCACCAGAATATTGAATACTGAAACATGATGAAGAACACCAGAATATTCTAAGATATGGATTTGAAAGATAAGCCCCTCAGGTTGGAAGGTATTCAATATATGACTAGAGAAGAGCTGCCTCCTCAAAGTAGAGTTGACTCAGATAATACAAGTGGAGTAAAGCTTTCAGGACCTTCATCTGCTGATGGGGGCACAACTGAAAATGAGCTAGTCAAGGAGAAGCATTCTACCTAGGATCTGCTGGAAAGAAACAAAGTCACTGACTACCAGGGAACATATACGGGGTAGACCCTCATATCTTTGCTTCCCAAAGGAGGGGCCTATGTCCAGGCTCAGTTAGGAGGGCCAGAGTATTGTAATGTCCTTTATTGGGATAACAGTCTGCCATACATAAAGGCAGGACAAAAAGCAAACTATATAACATATAAAGAAATGCTGTTTTTTAACATTAATTTACAGATGATGCCCTAGTTAAAGAACAAATAATGGGGTAAAGTATGAAGATTTACTTTATCAGTTGCTCTCTCTATATAAACAAGATGAAAACCAAAATAAAATAAACTATGTCCATATAACACAGTAATAAAGTAATTACTAGCCAACATATCAATAAAAGGAGGCCAAGGAATAAGCTACTGGAAAGGTATATTTTATCTAATAGAGTTTTTGAGAAAAGCTAAGAGCTTTATTAGGTAAAATATAGCACGACATTAGGGAATAAAGATGGAAAAGTTATAATAAGAAAGTCTGATCAAAGGAGAGATCGAAATCAAAACTTGAGCAGAAATAAAAATAAAAGGACAGGAAGATGAGGGTTAAAAAGGAAGTTCTGACCAATTTAAATGATCTAGTTAAGGAAGATGGTGGTTAGGGTATCTCTAATTTATTTATAGTATTCAGATGCTGAACTGATGAAATGTAAAAGTTGGGGAAAGGCAAAGATAATAATAAGCTGCTTCAGATCAATCAAAAGATAGGACTTCTCAGAGACTCCTAAAGCTGTCTTCTCTCATTCCTCATGGTCACTGCCTTGGTTCAAACCTTAATCACCTGGGCCCCATCACCAATTCCGTGGCCTTGCACTCCCAGCCCACATCCCCAGCACACCTTCCCCACCACAGAGCAATCTCCCCAAACCATGAACCTGTGTACTGTCATCACTGTGCTGTTTAACAGACCCTCCCATTATGTACCAGCTGCCTTCAGTTTAAAATGAATACCTTCCTTAGTAAATCGGGAAACAATGGGGATTAAAAGTAAAGCTTTAGAAATTAATTTGTACTTCAAAGATTTTTCTAAGATGTATCCTATTCATGACTATTTGATATAAAAAGCAAAGGATTTTGTCAGTCACAATATCTCAATGATCTAATTAATGTGCTACATTCTTGATTGTCAATTTATGTGAACTCTGCTGAACATTAGCAGCACCTGTATCTAATTAACAGCTCTAAATCAAGCACATCTACTGATTGGCATGCTAATATTGGACTATCACCAGAGAAAGAAAAGGTCAAAGTAGTCAACATTCTGGGAGAAATGTATTAGGATGGACTGACTCTGAATATGTTCAAAGTGACTGGCTGTGATGCACTAAAGCCAACTAAAGACTTCATAGACAGGCAGCATGGGACAGCTGCAGGCCTCCACTGGGTGGCAAAGTGCAGATTCCCTGGGTTCAAATGCCAGCTCCACCACTTAATACCTGGGTGACTCTGAGCCACTGGCTTAACTTCCTCTCCCTCCATTTTGTCATCTATAAAATGGGTATAGTGATACTGCCCATTTCATAGCTGTTGCAAGGATTAAAAATGCAAATCCATGTGAAGTGTTTAGAACAGTGTATGGCACTTTGTGGATGCTATTTAGGTCACTGTTTTTGCACCTTTAACTCTTAACTTGTTAAGTATTTGCACCATAAGTAAGGTACTTAAATCCCATTTTCTTAATGCCTTTATTTATAACTCCAACCCAAACGGAACCTTGGGCTCCTGAATTTCCAAACGAGTGCTTACTGATTCTTAATTTGAGCATATGCTACCACAAGGTCAGTTTGAACCACAAGGTCAGAAGCTGAAACTCACCATCTGCTCCTTGGAAACCCTATACAGGATCGCTATGAGTCGGAACCAACTAGATGAAATTTAACAACAATAATCATCTTTGCCTAAGTCCCCAAGTAACCTTTACTATAGGGTGTATTATGAACTATTTCTTGCATGTACTCTTCTAATTTTTTAAAATATAAAACTAAGCCATCTTCATTCAGTGAAGCAAAATGTATTAAGATAGGCCCTGTGGACTTGGAAAAGAACCATAACAGAGACAGTTTTAAGGTTCTGCCTTTATGGAGGTTATCAGTTATCATCTAGTAGGGAAGGGGAGAGAAAGATTGAAGGAGGAAAAGTATATGACGCAACAAAAGTAGAGCTGGGAGCCTAATCTAGACCAACAGGATGGGATTCTTATATTTTAAAGGAGTCCTGGTGTGTGACTGTAGGATCAGCACTGGACTGCTAACCACAAGGTCACTGGTTCAAATCTACCAGCTGCTTCTCAGAAACCCTATACAGGATAGCTATGAGTCAGAACAGGCTTGATGACACTTAACAACAAGAAAAAGCTTATCCGTGAACACCAGCTCAATAAAGGTAAAGCCTCTGTTTTTTAAAGATTTCTATAACTGTTAGTGTGCAAGAAAGCTCATTAAAGCCTAGACTATTACTATACCCTGTAACATTCTGGTCATTCATTTGTGTTTTAGTTATTGTTCATTCACACACCTCCTGAGCACTGAATAACCAAATACTGGAATTCTTCAAGTCAGGTAATTACAGACTTCCTAAACAAGGTCAGTTTGAACTGCAAGGTCAGTGGTTCAAATCCACCAGCCGCTCCTCGGAATCACTATACAGGGTTGCTATATAGGTTTCAATAAGGAGCTCTGGTAGCATAGTGGTTACGAATCAGACTGCCAACCTCAAGGTCATCAGTTCGAAACTACCAGTGGTTCTGCAGGAGAAAGATGAGGCATTCTGCTCCCATAAAGACTTACAGCCTTGGAAACCCTGTGCAGGGTCACTATGAGTCGAAACCGACTCCACGGTACTTAACAACAACAACCTACAGGTTGAGTATACAGGTTCGTCAAGTCAGGTTGAATCGAAACTGACTTGACGGCACTAAACAACAACTACAATTATCTATAAGCCTAGAAACCAAAAGAGATCCCTCAGTATTTCAATCTGATTAAATCAAATCAGACTGAACTACTTTTAATCTGATTTTACTTCAACAAAATTAATATAACCACTAGAGAAATACCACTCATTTATATTATCTTTATGTGTAAACTAAATTAAATCTAGAATTTTCATGGGTTTCTACCCCAACCATTGGTATGGAACTTGAAGCACATTAAAATTTCTGCAGCAATTTCAACTTATTTTCCAACTTACAATTCATAACAGCAATAAAGAAACCACTGAACTCTATTCAGTTCACTTTTAAGTAAAGCAGTGTTCTGGAGCTGGCACCAGGTAAGGATGCAAGAAATGGCTTGGAAGAGTTACACAAAGCATAAGTAAGCAATAAAATGGTCCAAAAGCCAAATACATGCCATTGCATAAAATATTAATCAGCCCTTCATTCTCTGGCATTTTCAGATTCTTTCATTTCTTTCCTCTAATTTCAGAACTGATAGCACTTCTGAATGGCTAGAGCTAAAATCATTGTTTTAGGGTGAGGGTAATAGAGGAGAGGAAGAGAAACACTCCAACATCTAAATATATGTACATTATTTATAGCTGACTTACATGACTGAGGTTTAAAAAGATCATGGAAAATTTTCATTTTCTTTTAATCCAATTTTTCCATGAACTTTTTGACGCTCCTTCATATTATCAATCATATTACATTCCTTACCCATAATACTGATAAGTATTAATTATTCCCAAATTCAATAAACTAGGTATTTAAAAAGTACAAGAATGAAATGGTCTACCTACCAGATGTCAGTTTAATAAAGATTATCATATAGAGAACATAAGTTCCTGAAAGCTAAATATTCTCAGATAGAGAGATAAATTCTATGCTTGCCTTTTCAGAAGTCATAATTCAAAGCCCTCAACTTGGGAAGAGAATGCTAACCAGAGCAAGGGACAAAAAAATAGTGTTCTTGCTTAGCTATGTTATCACATTAAAATGTTAGCTCACATCCCTTTCTGTTTGCTTTTAATAGACCAAGCTGCAACACAGAGAGAAGAAAAGTCAACAAAGACTCTGAACATCAATATGACCTTTGCTAAGATTTACATTTCATCTGGACAGATGATTCAAATAAGTAAACTTAGTCACTTCATCAATGACTATCCTAAAGAATATACTACAGGGCTTAAAAAATGGTTTGTCTTCAGAAAAGAGTCCTGGTGATGCAGTGGTTAAGCGTTCAGCTGATATCCAAAGGTCAGTGGTTCAAACCCACCAGTCACCACAGGAGAACATATGGCAGTTGGTTCTTGTAAAGACTTGTTATTGTTGTTGTTGTTGTTAAGTGCCGTTGAGTTGATTCCGACCCACAGCGACCTTGTATAGGGTTTCCGAGGAGCAGCTGGTGAGTTTGAACCACCGAACTTGCAGTTCAAACAACTTTGCAGTCTGGCGCATTAACCCACAGCGCCACACCAGGACTCCTGTAAAGATTTATAGCCTTGGAAACCCTATGGGATGTTCTATTCATAATCAATACAATGGCAATGGGTTTGTCTTGTGAGAAAAATTCTTCTATTACTCTGGTTATCTTTACTGAATGTATATATAAATGTGTGTGTGTGTGCCATTGAGTCCGTTCAAACTCATTGCAACCCTGTATAGGGCAGCTGGTGGGTTTGAACTGCCAACCTTGTAGTTTGCTGTCCAGTGCTGATCCTACAGTGGCACATATATTACATATATGATGGAGTCCTGGTATGGCGCTGTGGGATAAGCACTCAACTTTAAGGTAGGTTTGAATCTCAAGTTCAGCAGTTCAAACTCATCAGCTATTCCTCAGAAACCCTATATAGGGTCGCTATGAATCAGAACAGACTCAACAGCATTTCATACTTACTTACTATATGGAGTACTGGTGTGGTGCTGCAGGATACTGTACTGGACTACCAGGTTGGTTTAAACTGCAAGGTGGTATGTATATATATATATATGTTATGTTGCTATATATATATATATATATATACACACACACACACATATGTTGTTGTTAAGTATCATTGAATCGGTTCTGACTCATAGAGACCCTGTATAGGGTGTTTCCAAGGAGCAGCTGGTGGGTTTGAACTGCCAACCCTGTGGTCCAGTGCTTATCCTGCAACACCACACCAGTGTTCAGCTTCACCCCAAATATAGTATGGTATAAAGAGCTAAACTAAGACTTGGGTAGCCAATTCTCAAACTGACCCCACAACCAAACAAATTTTCTGAGAACCAATGTCTTAACTGTACTAGTAGGGAACTAGAATAAATGATTCCAAGGTTTCTTCTAGCACCAAAAAGTGACGACGTTCTTAATTTTACAAAGTCATTTCTGTTTTTACTCAGAGGTTGCTGTTAAGTCCAGTCAAGTCGATTCCAACTCATAGTGATCCTATATAGAGTTTCTGAGGAGCAGCTGGTGAGCTTGAACTGCCAATCTTGTGGTTCAAACTGACCTTGCAATCCAGCGCATTAGTAAAAGCACAGGTTTGGAATCAGATAGACAAGGACTGTTTCTTGCTTCTAACACTGAATTTAGAATATCTAGGGACACTCAATTTTCTTACTTAAAAAATGGAGATCACACTACCTAACTCATAAGGTAATTAAAGAGATTAAATCAGCCAGTGTATGTCGGGTGTTTAAAAGTGGTTTGCTTATAGCAGAACCGCATTTAAAATGCACACACACAAAAGTTGCTCTTAATTATGTTTTCAATTCTAGACTTAACCTTAGGAGTCAAAATAAATTTAAATCTTTCAAAGTACCACTTATGGTTTATGATGTTTCTTTAATTGTCACATTAAAATTTTTCTTCTTGACATCTATTTTAATTTTCAACTAAAAAGTGTGCTTTTCTATTTCCTTTCTGCAAATATTCTCCAATCTAAAAAAAGCCTCCTTTATAATTGTACTCTTTACAAGAGAGCTGCCTCTTTTTAAGTGTAATTGCTTTCTTTGCTCTGATTCTCGCTTTATAGGTGGATGATTCCACACCTAAAAACTGGGTACTCGCGGCTCCTCAGAGACTAGATGCTGCTATATTATACGTGTTTCATTGGAAAACAAAAAAATGTAGAGTGTTAGTCTAAGGAGATATGAAAACCTTCCTGAGAGGAACTCACCTCTCCAAATCGCTCCATGTTTTGTATTTTAGATAAGTTTCCACCAATAGACATGTCATCCAAGCTAGAAAGAATTTTGTTAATACTTCCTTCACTGGATGGTCTGTTTTTCAGTTTGGACCGGAAAATGTCTCCTTGGACCCACAATGATGCTTGTTTTCTACAAAAAGGAGAGAGAAAAAGAATCTTTAAAATGTACTACCCTTAAAGATTCACAGATAAACATGTGTAAATCAGACTGGAAAAATTATGAAATCTTAAAATAAATAAAGTCACTTCCTAAAACCCAAAATAAATTGTTTTATATTTTTATATTAAGAACAAATACTCATCTTTCAAATTAAATCTATATACCCATTCCTCAGTTATTGACAATGGTCAGGTTCTAAAGAGCAGGTCATTATGTAAAAATGGAGAATGACTACATCAGATCACAAAAGGGAGAATGACTCCATCATTATATAACCGTCAAATTCCATTCTTACATAACTGCTAAACCACTGACAATCCTGGACCATCCAAGGTCACACCTAGCTTTAACCATCACAGCCAGCATTACTACACATGCTCTGCACCTCAGTATTCATAACTGCCAGAGGGACATTGCTAATATGCAAAATATATTATAGTAGAGATTTTTACTCTGGCCAAAAATTCAAAATATTAGATAATGAGATAATCAATGAAAGGCGATGTATCCATGGTTTGATTGTTGGGGTCCTCAGGTGCTTAAAAAAAATTCCAGAGCAATAAAGACTGTGCATCTATTTGCCTGTTAAGTGTGAATTTGAAATCTGTAATATATTTCTCAAATAACAATTTGGTATGTCTATTGGTAGCAGGGAAAAGGAGTCCAGGCAGCACAGTGGTTAAGTATTTGACTGCTAAAGGAAAGATCAGTATTTCAAACCCACCAGTCACTCCACAGGAGAGACTGGCTAATCTGCTTCCATAAAGACTGCAACTGCCTTGGAAACCCTCTGGGGCAGAGCTACTCAAGGGTCACCATGAATCAGAGTCAGCTTGATGGTAATAGATTTGGTTTGAGAAAATAATAGGAGCTAATTGGACTTAAAGATACAGGCAAAAGAGCTTGAGCCAGGCAGGGATGTTAACTTCAAAAAAGTATTAAACACCTAATTGTTTGTGGTGCTACTAAAGGTCCTGAACAAATAACTTTAGAAACCAATTCTTAAAACCTTATACCTAATGTTACTCTCCTCTAGGGGGAAAAAAGGAGCCCTGCTGGTACAGTGGGTTAAACAGTGGGCTGATAAACTAAAGGTCAGTGGGTTAAAAGAGAAAGATGAGGTCATCTACTTCTGTACAGACTTACAGTCTCAGAAACTGTGGAATAGTTCTGCTCGGCTCTATAGGGTTACTATAAGACAGGATCAACTCGATAGAAGTGGGGAGATCAAGAAAAGAAAATGTGCTTGAAGTTCATCTGTAAGTTTTCTTTTATTTAATTGGCAAAATTACAACTATTTTTCAGGATTAAAAGAAAACTAAAAACATGCAAGCAAAGTGACAATCTCGAGCTTCGTTTTTTATTGATGGAGTTACTTTCCCACATTTCTTTTAAGATAAATTACCACACCGAATAGGTTTAATTCTATTCTAGTCCACATTGACTGAACAGGGTTAAATTAAAACCACTGTGGTACATCCTGAGGAATAGTGGAATCTGATGAAACAACATTAATAAAGGTGACCACCACGGGAAAATACATTGCTTTGTAAAACAGTAGGTGGACAGAATGGTAATTTATCTTAAACGCTCCATATGGCAAATAAAAGTCAGGCTAAAACATGAGGAGAGACCAATAAAGACAACAAAGTTGTTTCATGATATAACATGAGTTGTATCACCTGGTTCCCCAAATAGGAATTTTATCTCTTTTTAAACAAAGTTTATTCTCAAATCAGAATTTTATTCTTTAGGGTTAACTACTGTTGGACATCTCACAGAAAAGGCTGACCTTTGAACTAAGACAAAATATTGCTTATACAGTCCTTCCAACCAGCCAATTTTACATTTATAGACGTCATTTTACAGAGATCTTGTATTTCTACTTTTGTGTATATGATACATTTTTGCAGTCTTATTTGTAATTTTGGAGAAATATTTTAAAAATTAAGGAGCAACACAACAACTACAGAATGATATACATGGCAGCATCAACCTGAACTCAGTTGACAAATGGAAGAGTCAAGAACAGAATAAAATTATAAGA